GGAATTAAGAAATGGAGAAATTGACAATGATACCTGTGTATTATACTGTGATATGGTTACACAATTATTCTTGTTCACGCACTTGATGTATGGGATGAAGATTTGTATGAACAAATCGGGGTTACATATCAGTAGAGACACATCTCTGTAATATTATTTGATTTTCAATTAAATGAGTGGATGTTCAACCTAATAGAATTGATTGGTCACTTACATTTGGTAAATGAATCTTGGATGAAATGAACTAGAAAAGCTAAGTGTAAGAACTCTTAATTTCGATTTTTCTCATTTCATAGATATCAAATATAATCTTAAATATTTTAGAAAATTGTCATTGTTACATTTCTTTTTATTTTAAGACCTACGTGTAAGAGAAGAAATCATTGTTTTATACGGCAGCTTTATATCAAATCGGTGGCAAATTTATAGGGGTCCAGGAGAATACAGTATAATTTCTTTGATTGATTGATTGTTGTAGTTCTATGTCTCTTGCAAGAAAATGTCACTTGTATGAGAGGTCACCTGATGCTGGTGAAGGCTTCAAATTGAGACCTTTACTCGATACTCAGGGTAATTGAACAGTGAAGGGTCTCTGGCTTGCAAACACCTCAGACACGACTCCTCGATTCGAGGTCTCATTTGAAAGACCTGCAACTTAAACTTCAAAGTAACAAACGTTTGGTGAAGGAACAGTTGCTACCTATTCTTTTTATTGACTAAGGTTTGCAACCAGGGCATGAACCCGAGATCACAGAGCGAAAGCACTACCAACTTATCGAGCTACGTGATAATACTTTACACACACTGTATTAATTCTCTCCCAGTTCCTTTTACCATATGAAATTAAGGCTCATAAATCATGGCCAAGTGTTGCTTTACTTAAAATGGTTCCTGGCAGGTTTGCATCTTTAAAAAAATAAATAATATTTATATTTGCGAATCAACATGTGCGAATCCAGGATTTTTTTTTTTTTTTTGGGGGGGGGGGGGGGGGGGGTTGTGTTCCACACCCCTACACAAGAATGTACATGTAGGCCTAAACATAGCTCTTTTTCAGTGTTTCCTTTCCTACAATAAAATATCTATTAATTCATAAGTAAACAGGAATCTTTGGTGATAGATGGAAAGGAATCATATGATTGACACATCACTCAAATAATGATATACATTATTTCTTTATACTTGATCCAGGAGAATTACCATCCATGAATGAATCATGTCATGCTGAGAAAAGAACTGTACAGAAAATGCAAATTGATTATGAGTCTTTGCACACTGTCGTTTAAAAATTACTGTGGTAAAAATGCATAAAAACCACCACATTTACAAAAAAGGTTACAAATTCATCAATTTTCTACCTTCTCAAATAGCATCACTTAAAGAATCCCACATACATAAATGAAGGTTAAGAAGACACAAAGACCAGCATCTTTTTCTCAGTTTCCTACAAACTATATTTTTTTTTAGATTTTGAGCAGACAATATCTTTCTTTGTCCAGAGAAGTTTCATCCTTATTGTTTGATCTTGTCATCTTAAAATCAACAGGATTCATCTACTCCTTAGGGGATACCAGCCTACTTTCCTCAAATCTGCTGTGTTCATGTATGAAGTGTTAACAGTTAAAATGGGAAAGGAACTTTCCTGAAATATGTTATGTGTTCAGGCTTATGAAGCCAGTGTCAACAGATAGGAGAGGAACGTTCCTGTTATGAGGCCAGTGTGACTAAATAGGAGAGGAACGTTCCTCTTATGAAACCAGTGTCAACAAAATAGGAGAGGAACGTTCCTCTTATGAAGCCAGTGTCAACAAATAGGAGAGGAACGTTCCTCTATGAAACTAGTGCCAACATATAGGAGAGGAACGTTCCTCTTATGAAGCCAGCGTGACCAAATAGGAGAGGAACGTTCCTCTTATGAAGCCAGTGTGAACAAGTAGGAGAGGAACGTTCCTCTTATGAAGCCAGTGTGAACAAGTAGGAGAGGAACGTTCCTCTATGAAACCAAGGCCAACAGTTAGGAGAAGAACGTTCCTCAGATTCATTGGGTTAAGATTCATGTATATTGTGTAAATATTTCAATAGAGGAACGTTCCTCAAATGTTCAGTGTACTTAGATTGATGTTTGTTTTATTATTGATTAGAATTGGTAGAGGAACGTTCCTCAAATATAATTTTTATTAAGATTCATGGATATAGTATGTATTATCAATTGAAATTGATAGAGGAACGTTCCTCGTGTAACATTGTATATACAGTATCACATATTTATTATGAGCAATCTGAAATAAAAGATGAACGTTCCTCAAATACAGTTTTTGTGCATAGAACTAGAGACAACATGGAAGATTACTGATGAAGAGGAAAGTTCCTCTCTTAAATTGCACTTAAAGAGGCGCATTTCTCAAAAAGCTCCATTGTAAAGGCTCAATTATTGACCATTTTCGACTTCAGATTTGAAAAATCAGGTTTAAAAAAGGAATTTTGATTTTCTCTTTTTGATTTGGATTGTGTTAGCTATGTCATTTTTGTGTCACCTGCAGAGCAGAGCGGCACTTACGGATCACTTTACCCGGCGTCTAGCTGTCTCTCTGTCCGTCTCTCACACCCTATATCTTGCTTGGCACTATGGCTTTTGTAAATTACATTGGTTACCAACCTCATGACCCTTGATTTTGACATTTGACTTACTTTTCAAAATAGGTCATAGTGCCGCTATACTGCATATTTCAGAGATTTAAGAGTTAAGGTATTTCCACCCTCTAAATATATTATGGGTTCAAATTAGAAAATCTGTTGTTTTTTTCACGGAATATAGTTTAAATTTACTAATAATTGCAAAAAATGTATAAGTTGCCATATTTTTTTTAAAACGTAAGACAATAAAAAACAGAAGTGAATGTCAGCATAAAAAATCGTACAGTTTTAGTGAACAGTATCATAAACATTATGTAAAAACTGGTTAAAATACATAATTCTGATGCTTAAGGTTCCTATGTAATTGCTACTTTCTAGATATAATTGAATTGTGAATATCAGGAAAACAATTTTACATTAAAAGTACAACAAAGAAAATTCCTGAATGAAGATACCTTAGAAGGAGTTATTGCCCTTGGCAACATTTTTGTAGATTGAATATTTGATTAAACGAAGGAAATATACATTTTTACAATTTTTTTGCTTAATAATTATATGCAATTTATCTATTGAAAATCACTCATCCAAAAGAAATTTTTCTAATGGGTATGAATTTAGATTAATAACAATTTTCGCAAAAACCTTTGAAATCACAGGAGGATGGAAATACCTTAAGTCTATGCTATTTAGCATGTGAACTGTTTGTCATAAGACAATATGAAAAATACCAGCATTACAATCCATTTAACCTTAACCTTTGACCTACTTTGAAAAAAATACCCCTGGTAGTTTAGTATAACTTATGATTTCTGAATTTTGAGAGGCAGGATTTTGATAATTAGTATTTACGCATGTTTATGAGCTCATATGATACTGTACTTTGAAACTGTGCGATATTCAATAACCACACAAACTTTTATTTAGATACAATGAAAATACATCGGGATCGGTATTCCGCAATGGATCATGTAGAGGGACAATATTGCAGTACAGACAGACTGAAATCTCTTTTTGAGGATTGTTTGAAACACATTGAGCTCATGATACAGTACTTTGAAATTGTATGATATTCAGTTACTACACAAACTTATATTTAAATACTTTGAAAATACACTGGGATTGGTATTCCAGAATGGATCGTGTAGACTGACAATATTGCAGTAATGACATCTGAAATCTGTTGGAAACACGTATTAATAAAATGATAAATAGTTATTTCTTATAATTTCAATTTAATTATTCATTTGAGGGTTAGGGAACCATAGTTTCTTTGATTGTAAGATTCTATCGCAGTCTTATGCTATCCATGGATGCCAATTGTTTGTAAGAACTATCGTGTAAATAGTAAATAAAAGTTGACCACTCTTAAATTTATTTACATCTTTATCAAAGCTACAAAGCAGGCGATGCTAAGTTTTATAATTCTTTTGAAAGTCTTCAACATTTTCAAACAGATACAACAAATAAATGTCTCAAAGTTGTTAAATGCTAATTAGAACATTATCAAGAAGTCACCAAAAACACGTTATGCATGTGTTTGTCATAGTACATGTGTATAACAAGAGCATGATTACAATATTACAAGTAGCTGAACATCTGTAGGTAACAGTAAAGCCAATAGATAAATAAAAGGTATTCAACATTAATTATTTCATTCATCAATTTTGTATCTACAATATCATTATATACTGGCCATTCTGACATTTCCTTCAATCTAATTAGATATGAATATTCTGAATTTAAGTTAAAAATATAAATAATAAACTCAATATATTCCGTAAATAAATGGTGAGCCAAAAGAATAAAACCTTTTTTTTAGAATTAAAAATATCAAAAATGACTGAAAATAGCATTGAACAAAAATGAGCTTCGATTGTGCATCTTCTTTTCGGTTTTAGAATAAACAGCACTTCCTTTTTAAAGCACATAAAGTGCATATCTGAATCATTTTAAAAATGAATCAGTTTGTCTTAAATGAGGTTTACAATGTTTTAAATATTTTAAAGGCAAAAAGAAAGCAAAAAAACAAAACAAAAAAAAAAAAAAAAAAAAAAAAAAAAAAAAAAAAAAAAACAACAAAAAAAAAAAAAAAAAAAAAAAAAAAAAAAAAACACGTCGATCTATATAAAAATATTTTTTGATCACTCTATAATTCACATTATTAAAAGATACAAATTTAATCTTTCTTCGAATGAAACTAGAAGGATGTTATATTTAAAATTAAAATGTAATCACTTACCAAAAGATTGCATTTATTTGGTTATTAAGCAGTCAGAGAACAGGGAATTTGAACATTTATTGGATCATAATAAATTATATCAAAATAATTATATAATTATTAATTAATTATAATAAATACTGCATGCATACATGTAACTCGGTGCACTAAAAAAACCTTCCTCCGTGGAAAAATAGATAAAAGAATTGTGCAGCTAATAGATATGTCTTGTGTAATAAACATTGTTTTGAAGAATTGCACTTGGTTGAATCATCAAATGCCTGAAAAGGAATAAAAATCGATAAAACAGGATTACGTGTTTTAAATTTGATTCCATATTTTACATAGAATATTTCTCGTAAATATTCATACCAATGAAAGAGAAAATTACTTGGATTACAAATGTAATCTTTATTCTTTAAGACATATATATGTATCAATAATGCATGGCAAGTATAAAATAAAAAGAAGAAGTAGTAAAGAACAATGCTTCTAAATCTGTATTCAGTGATTTAATTTTCCATCATATGAAAGTTAATGGTACCTGAAATATACCTTAGTTAAAATACTCGATCGTAAAAATACTGAATTATTTATAGAAAAATCAATATAGAGGGACCAGCAATATGTTCAATTCAGATATACAATTTAAAATAAAACACGGAATTATGTCTTAATGTATACTCAAAAATGAGATTTTTACATGCATGGTTTGTGTCGCTAAAAAATTGACAAATTCATTTCTAATGGTTATCAAATACAGGGAATAGTATGATTGGTCATGTAACATATTTCTAGATAGAAATTTTGCATAAATTCTAAAGACTTTTTACTTTTCTGTCACATTCTTGCTCCCGCCATTCTTGTCTTAGCCAATCAAAGCCATCGGAACATCTCCCAACCATAGGGCACCATTTACAACCAAACGAGTCGTCCTGAGTTAAACAAGTTGTACAATCCTTGGCAATATTACAAGCTGTAAGCGAGTATAGAGACATGAAAGCTTTTAAGCGATAGTGTCTGAATAAGAAACATCTAATGAGAAAGCGAAGTGCGGAAAATTTTGAATTTAGATAAAATAAAGCCAAGAGGTTTGCAAAGGGTGTCATTTCACGTACATATTGCTGACGTTAAGGCATTATCAGAGACAGAAAGCATTATTTTTGTCTACCCAGGGTTTCAGTAAGATTAATACTGAGATAATTTAGAGTAATAATATTGATTAAACATTTTTTTTATTCTCCCAATGCAAATAAAACAGCTTACTCTTTAACGTGTTCAAAATAACCACTGTCCCTGTCCGAACAAGTTTAAAGTCAATGTCCAAACTGTTATATTTGTTTATTGTCCTTCTTTTTACGCCGCCTGTAAATATAGTTCTATGGATTCAAAATTACGTTTTACTCAAAATTTACTTTTAGAGGGTATTTTTTAAACAAGAGGCCAGAGGGCCTTAATGGTCACCTGAGTATAATACAACAATTTAGAGGATCCATAGAGTATATAATGAACTGAAAGGTGAAGCTTTGTTGCCCAAAAGCAAGAAAAATAGGGTGATCAGGATCAACAAAATAATTAGTCTAGTGATCATTATCAGTTCATAAATTAGGTTCTGATCTGTTCCCCATTTATCACTAACACCATAAAGTATATTAACAAACTATCAGTGCTTCTGTACTATATTAATTTCTTGTTGAAATATCTTACATTGGACTCTCTTGGTCTTTGATGAGCATTAAATAACACAAGTTATTTTTGTCTCATTTTTATTTATCTATTACTTACAAGTCTACCTGATCATAAACCTATGAAAGTACTTTTTGTATTATAAGATAAAATTTTTTTCATTATTCTCTTATTCTATTAACCTTTCAAGTAAATTATTTACAGTGACTAATTATCAAAAGCAAATGGCAAAGGGGAATAACTCCTCTCAGTAGCATACAAATTAATAGAGCCCTGGCCAGGACCAGAACACTTGACAAAATGGTCCAGATGTTCAAAAATCTTTATTAAAACTTTTACTCTTTTTGCCTCTGATATGCCCAGGTGCAGAGAAGAGTTTCAAAGAAATTATGCATTTTTTTACTACAGATTCACTATATTATCAATAGAGCCCCCCCCCCCTTCAGTCCCTACCGAGAAACACCAGAGCTTCTCACCCTGAGACCAGAAGTTTGCTCATCATACATGTAAGTAATCACTTTGTTTATCTGATTAACACTAAGGAGCAGACAATGCATTTTCACAATATAATCAAGAGAGCTCCGCCCAAACACCAGAACCCCTGACCCTGGGGCCATGAAATTCACAATTTTGGAAGAGGCACTCTTGCTCATTATAACTATGTACTTACTTAGTTTATTTAATACCCAGGAACAGAGAAGATTTTCAAAGAATTATTGCATTTTCACAATATAATCAATCTAATCACAATTTTGAAAGAAGCACTCTTGCGCATCATAACTATGTACTTTGTTAGTTTATTTGATACCAAGGAGCAGAGAAGATTTTCAAAATAATAACGCACTTTCACTATACGATCAATATAGCCTCGCCCTAGCACCAGAACCCCTGACCCTGGGGCCATGAATTTCACAATTTTGGTAGAGGGCTCAATGCTTATTACAATCATGCCAACAGTTTGACCGCTTGATGTTCAGGAGTAAAGAAGAAGATTTTTAAAGATTGCATTAATTTTTGTGGTTTTAGCCCCACCCTCAGCCCAGGGACCATGAAATTCACATTTTTTGTTCCCCTTCACCCATAGATGCTTTATGCCAAATTTGGTTGAAATTGGTTAAGCGGTTTCAGTAAAGAAGCTAAAAATGTTCAAATGTTTAAGGACGCCGCACGACGAACGACGAAAACGGATAGCAATAGGTCACCTGAGTGACTCAGGTGACCTAGTTATTAAAATAGAATTAAGAAACTTATCACAAAAATGTTGCTCATATAATATTTTTTTAATATGAAGTTGGTTTTGCATGAACATTTTCTGAGTGCTACCTTTAAATAAAATAGTGAAAAGTAAAGAGAAAATTGGCTGGTTACAACATAATTCACATCCTTTTAAAATTAAAAAAAAGGCAGGTGTTTCATGCTTATTATTTGCTTTTTAGCTTTCCAAACCTGTTCGTAAGCTTAAGATTTTGAAAAATTATACGAGAGCTATCAAACAAATTCATGAACACATTTTTTGTTTAGCAATACTGCTATACGTTTGTGCGATAACAATTTATAAAATAGACCATGATTGAATTAAGATGTGATATCGGAAAAATAACAATTATACTAATCCATGGCAACAAGGATATTTGCTATATTTTATTACAGAAATACTTGGACTGCCTTATCCTGTTATGATTCATGTATTTTACATCCAAACTCCATGTATAATTTTATAATGTGGGTCATAAGTGCTTTGAAATACATTTGTCTGTTTTATGAGGAAAATTTATTTTGTAATTGATTTTTATTAGATTTTACCTATAGAATTATATTGCATGAAGAGCTATGTTGTTTGCAAAATCCAGACAACTTCAGAAAATTTTAAATATATCTGTAGAAGGAGAATACTCTGTTCAATAAATCATATAAATAAAATTGGGTAGACACTAAAGGCATTAAGAAAAATATCTGAATGAAATGTTGTAAAACACTGTTGAAAAACAATTGGATTACCTCCCTTGCAAGAGCTCTCTAGCAAAGGAGTTCGGAAAGAATGAAACAGACAACAATAGAGGAATTGCGGGAGAAAAAGGAAAACTTCCAACTTGGAGTAATTGGACAAAAACAGATAGTGGTTTGTTGAATATGTTTTTTTTTTTCATGTCTATTTTTGGGTAAACTTTTGATAATTTTTTTCTTTTTAAAGCAAAATTAAAGATTAGGAACTTCAATAGGAAAGTACTTAAAGATTCATTTCTCTTTCCCATGATGTGATACAAACACTGACTGCATGAGTGATGCAAGGTACCTACAGCTTGTGAGCAACCTGTTATATGACCACTAATGTTTAATTCTGCAGTTGTTAGATTACTCTTAATGCAATTAAGAATAGATAAATGCTATAATGATATTTAGAATAATTAGAGATATGTCTATGATGTTTGTGAATATATACAGTGTAAAAAGAGGTCATAGGGTCACACTGCAGGTAAAACTAAAGTCCCTAACCACACAAAAAAGTCATTCTAACTCACCCCCTTCCTCTTTTATAAATCAGAGTTTATATTATTTCACATTAGAACTAAAAATTTGTTCAAATCTTATTTTTTCTCCTGCATCTTCCATACAATCAATGCAACATACATATATCAAATGAGCTGTTTTTCTACCAATTGCCAAATGGATAGGGAATGGTACTGATACCAATTCAATGTTGAAAAATAGCATCAAATTTATTTACCTTAAAGCTTTGGATGAAATTATAATATAACTTGACACAATGAACAGAAAACAATGGATTCTGTTGAATCTATATGAAAGGAAGTACAGTTGAAAATGTGTAGGTAGTTTATAAATTGATATGCCTGAGTGTTAATATAATTATGTAAAAGTGAGAATAAAACTTATGAATTGAAAAAAAAAAATGAATTATTGGGTACAATTCTCAAGTTTATAAAATGTTTATAATAAAGTAATCAATAAAATTATCATACCACCCCTCCATCTTCAGGAAACCAGACCTCAATCATTATTTGGTCAAAAGAAGTCATACATAAGAAGGAGGAATTAAGTGATGTTTGTCTATGAAAATTGACCCCACCCCACCCCCACTCCAGAACCCAGAACTCCTATATATATTTTGCAGCTTGTTCATATATCTGAATTGTTCCCTTGTCTACATATATGCAACTGGTTCATGCTACATATAATTATTAACATTGACTAGCATGGTGGAAATTACATGCATATATCATAAATGCCACCTTTACAGAAGATAGGATGTACATGTGTGTTAATCTACTACTGTACCACTTATTCAGTAGTAATACATAAACTTTTGTTATTTTTACAGCTATTATACATAGTTGAAGATGACACCCTGTTCCTTTAAAGAAGCCACTGGAGGAAATATATCTTGATCGCAACCATTATTAAAGTTTAATCTTGTTTTACCATGTTACAAATCAGTTATCTGTCAAATAACCACATACCGGTAATCCCCAGAACTGAATCTGAAGGAATGGAGGATTGCATGTGTTATGTATTTTTTTGGATAATAGACAGTTAATACATGTATGTTCCCAAATCACAGACAAAACTTGGACTTGCTTGGACTTTTTTGAATTGTTTTTGAGCCTCATGTGTGTATAAACTGAATATCAAATGATCTAATATAATGACTTTTGAGAAATTTTGAAAATTCTTTTTGTATTTTTGAGCTATTAGGAAATGGGACTTGCAAGAATAAGTAGCCACTAAAATTCTATTTTTGGTTCTTAAGATTTTCCAAGTTAAAATTGGGGACTTGGAAGAACATTCTGATTTTATTTATTTTCTTAAGGAGTAGTTGTCAAAAGTTGAAGCATTATTCATGCACTTTAAAGAAACCTCCTCCTTAAAAAGAAAATTGAAGATTTTCCAAAAGAGTCAAATGATATTTTTTTTCATTTACTTTATTTTTAAAAAAACAAGGGGGGGGGGGGGGGGGGGCAGGCTGAACTCTTAGCATGTTTTAAATGAATGTGGTCAAATTAATCTTTGTTGAATCAATTTTAGCTCACCTGAGCTGAAAGCTCAAGTGAGCTTTTCTGATCACCTGTCGTCCGTCCGTCTGTCTGTCTGTCTAACTGTCTGTCTGTATGTCCATCCATCTGTAAACTTTTCACATTTTCAACTTCTTCTCAAGAACCACTGAGCCAATTTTAACCAAAGTTGGTACAGAGCATCCTTGGGTGAAGGGGAGTTTAAATTGTTAAAATGAAGGGCCAACCCCCCTTACAAGGGAAGATAATCAAGAAAAGACAAAAATTGGGTGGGGTCATTAAAAAATCTTCTTCTCAAGAACCACAGGGACAGAAAAGCTGAAACTTATGTGGAAGCATCCTTGGGTAGTGTAGATTATAAATTCTTTAAAGCATGGCCCCCGGGGGTAGGGCGGGGCCACAATAGGGAATCAAAGTTTTACATTGAAATATATAGGCAAAATCTTTGAAAATCTTCTTCCCAAGAACCACTGGGCCAGAAAAGCTGAAACTTATGTGGAAGCATCCTTGGGTAGTGTAGATTCTAAATTGTTCAAATCATAGCCCTTGGGGGTAGGGCGGGGCCACAATAGGGAATCAAAGTTTTACATTGAAATATATAGGCAAAATCCTTGAAAATCTTCTTCTCAAGAACCACTGGGCCAGAAAAGCTGAAACTTATGTGGAAGCATCCG